AATGTTTGACGAGATTTACAAGTATTAGCATTAATTGAATAGGATGACTAATGTAATCATGTTAACAATCTATAATCTGATTGGAACCTCCTTTGTGTGTGGTTTCCAATTGAATAATAAGAGTTTATACTATACTTGTTTGACATACCATTAGTGGATCCTCTAACCTTGGCATTTATTATTATCATTATTTAATCCTTACATTAATATTCCATCTCAAAGTTCTCATCTTCTTCTTCTTTATTATTATTAGTATTACTACTACTACTACTACTACTACTACTATTAGTATTATTATTGCTACTATTATTGTTGTTGTTGTTATTGTTACTATTATTGTTGTTGTTGTTGTTTATAATTTGTACAATTAACCTCCCTGTGGTTCGACCCCGGTTTTGCTAAGTTATTTATTACTTCGACACTCCTGCACTTGGGAGAAGACATCAATCTTTTAGTCATGTCACCAGTCAAACCGGTTCTGGTTCAAACCTCAAAATACCTTGAACCACGTATGGCCCAGCAAAATAAAAATAAAAATTATTTTTTATTTTTTAATTGTGTTTTATTCAAAAAACTAGTGTTTAACATTAATTAATGACACTACATAAATTAGACAGAGATAGCTTGATAAGGTAGCATTTGCAAAATTTGATCGCAATCTCAATTTTGTTCCTGATTATATTTTACATGATATTATTGCGTGCTTAAGAAATAAAAAAACCATAATTCTTGTCGGATATGTTTCATACATGATGGAATTGTAGATAGTTTTATGGAATAATAAAAAATATTTTATATAAAGTATTATTTATTTTATAACAATAGTTAAATAAAAAATATTTAAATAAAAAAATCATTAATATTAATATATATTTTTTAAAATTATTTTAGAACTTCAATTTCAAAAGCATTTTTAATCAAATACATTAATTACTTTTTATTCAACCTCAATTTTAACCATAGTTTTAACTAAACATATATTTTTTCAAACTAACCTCAACTAAAAGTATTTTTTTATAAAATAACTTTTTTCAAACAACAACCATAACAGCTACTGCAATACCAAACACACATATTTGAAAATTTAGATGTGGTTATTTTTTAAAATATATTTTATATAAAAATAATATTTTTTATTTTTTAAAAAATTATTTTTAATATAAGGGCATCAAAATGATATAAAAATATTAATTTGAAGTAAATAAAAAAATTAATTTTTTTAAAAGCACTTTTAGAATATAAAAACAAATAAAGTCGTAACTAGCTTTGTATTTTATTATGGGGCCGGATAAGTTTTTGAACAAAAAATAATGTTCATATACCGTAAATGAGTAAAGAAATTTATAAAAAGTTATTTATGATAAATATATAAAGAAAACTAATAAGAGCTAAGTCAATATGGAAAATTTTGTCAAACTCGCAGTCTAAATTACATAATTAAAATAACCCAATTAAAAATAAAAAGAATTATGAACTTTTTTTTTAAATGTATTATTATTTTAATTAATGATTCAAGTCATTAAATTTGAAGTATCAAATCTAAAAAAATCAAGAAGTTCAATTAAAAAAAATTAAATGATGAAATTAAAAAAAATATTACGTGAACAAAGAAAAGAAAAATAGGTTTAAAAACTTCTAATTGTATATTTATTAGTTATGCTAAAAATATTGTTATATATTTGTTTCTAGTTTTAAAAAATGACGTGTTAAATTACAATGCTATTAATAAAACAAAAACAAATCTTTGAATATATTTTTCCATTAAATAAAAAAATTTCTCATGAGCTTATTAATTAATAGAGTTGAGAAACCCACATTAAAAAAATAAAAAATAACAAACAAAGGAAATAATTTTTTTTAGAAATGATTTTTTTATTTATGTGTGGTTGATAACAATCCAATAATCTTCTATGAAAATATTTTTTTTTATTTTTTATTTTAGAAAGAAGTAATTAAAATTGATTTGCTTTTACAAAATTAAATATAAAAAACTATTGATATACTCCAAGTGCAACATCTATTAGTTGGAAATAATTTTTTAAAAAGAAATGTTTTCTTGAAATTTTTATAGATAAATAAAAAAATTAGTTATAAAAAATTTATTTAAAAATAAAATATAAATTATTTTAATACATTTTTACCCTAAACTAATTTTTTTTAATTTAAATTTTAATTATTTTAGCTTGTATTTATAATTTTTTTTATGCAATAAACGGATGTCCCGCTCCAACCCCCTCGTTGAATTCCAGGCAAACCTCTTCAACCTGACAAAAACGACACCGTTCTCCAACCCTTAATACATATATAGAAAAAAAAAAACAGAAAAAGTGTTCACTTTCTTCTACAACACAGAACAGATACCAAACACTCTTCCACGTCTCCTTCTTTGTACTCTCAACTAAACGAATGCTTCTCGTCTAAAGCCGAGACCTCAACTCTCTCTCGCTTTCCGTCTCTGTTTACCGAGAAAAATAAATAAATAAGAATCTTCTTGATCCACCATGGCAACGACCTCAAATAAACCTCAGAGATCTCTCCAAGAAATCGAGGACATTATGCTCCGCAGAATCCTCTCAGTCTCCCTCGCCGACTCCTCTGATCCTGGAATTTTCTACTTAGAAATGACAGCAGCTGAGATTCTCAGTGAAGGCAAAGACTTGAAACTCACTCGCGACTTAATCGAACGTGTCTTGATCGATCGATTGTCTGTTCAAAGCCCTAACGCGGAACCTCCTTTCAATTACCTCTTAGGCTGCTACCGTCGTGCTGTTGATGAGCTGAAGAAAATCGCCAATATGAAGGACAAAAATGTGAAATCAGAGCTGGAATTGTCGATCAAGCAAGTCAAGAAGTTGTCGGTTTCGTATTGCAGGATTCATTTAGGGAATCCTGATTTGTTTGGGGGTGATTCGAGTGTTGTTAGAAAGAGCGGGCATTCCAATGTTTCTCCGGTTCTGCCCTTGATTTTTGCGATGGTTGATGGGTTTAATAGTGGCGGAATTCAGCCACCGCCGCCGGGGTTTTTAGAGGAGTTTTTTAGAGAAGGGGATTTTGATAGCTTGGATCCGATTTTGAAGGGTTTATATGAGGATTTGAGGGGAAATGTTTTGAAGGTTTCTGTTTTAGGGAATTTTCAACAACCATTAAGGGCTTTATTGTTTTTGGTTAGTTTTAATGTCGGTGCTAAATCACTTGTTAGTCATAAGTGGTGGATTCCGACAGGGGCATATGTAAATGGGAGAGTTATTGAAATGACAAGTATTTTGGGTCCTTTTTTTCATATTAGTGCATCGCCTGATAATACTATTTTTAAGAGCGAGCCAGATGTTGGGTGAGACCGTGTGATTGTTTATTTATTGGTTTTTTTTCTTTCTTCTCGTGTTTGTGTTATTTATGTGTTGTTTATTTGTTTGTTAAAATGCCAGGCAGCAGTGTTTCTCTGATGCAACAAATCGTCGACCTGCTGATTTGTTATCTTCATTTACTACAATTAAGACTCTTGTGAATAATTTATATGATGGATTAGCAGAAGTGCTTCTTGCTCTTCTTAAAAATGGTGATACTCGCGAGAGTGTGCTTCAGTATCTTGCTGAGGTGATTAATAGAAATGCGACAAGAGCTCACATACAGGTAGATTTCTCCTGTTCATGGAACTTATTGAACTGTAGTTATAGTGTATATGATTTGTCAAAAGCTTTATCTTGATTAATACATGGCATATGAATCAACATGTGGGTTATTTATTTTGTTTAATTTCTTCAGAGAAGGAACAGCTTGATATCTTTTTGCTAAACTGGAATTTGCATGATAGTTTTTTCTTTCCTGAGTGAATGATTTTCAGGTTACTTGATTTGTTTTTGTAGATTAACATGGTATCATGTAACTGTCACAGGTCGATCCTTTATCTTGTGCAAGTTCGGGCATGTTTATCAATCTAAGTGCTGTCATGCTTAAGCTATCCGAACCTTTTTTAGATGCAAATTTGTCAAAAAGGAACAAAATCGATCCAAATTACGTGTTTCACAATGACCGTTTGGATCTAAGGTAATGAACTGCTTATTGTATATATTTTTTTTATCTCATTATTGGTTTTCCTGGTGTCCCTAATTATTTGTTTTCTTCTTAAGTTAGAGGGTTGACAGCTCTGCTTGCATCATCAGAAGAAATCACTCAATGGCTTAATACTCCTGGAAAAACTGATATCTCTGCACAATCTAATGATGTTGAAAATCGCTTGGTACAGTCTCAAGAAGCCACCAGTTCTGGTAGAAGTGGTGAAAAGTCTAAATACTCATTTATTTGTGAGTGCTTCTTTATGACTGCAAGGGTGCTCAACTTGGGTCTGTTGAAAGCATTTTCTGACTTTAAGCATCTAGTTCAGGTAATGCATACATGCTTTGTATCTGGACTTGGATTTATAAATCTGTTACCACATCCTTGATTGACAAATGAAAACATTTATCTGCCTTTTAAGTTAATTTTATGAATAAACACCATGTCAGGAAATTTCTAGATGCGAAGATATGCTCTCCACTTTTAAAGCCTTGCAGGAGCAGACGCCGTCTCAGCAGCTGCAGCAGGATATTGACCGTCTTGAGAAAGATATAGAGTTATATTCACAGGAAAAGCTTTGTTATGAAGCTCAAATATTAAGGGTACCAGACCTCTTCTCTCTGCACTTGACATCCTGGAAGCTAGTCTTGAACATTAAAAGTTTGTGTTTAGTTTTGTTCTCCTGTGAGGTGACAGGGGTTTGAGATCTAAAGTTTTGATCATGTCACTTTTGGAAGATGATTCTGACAGTTGGGTGTTGTTTTATTTTCTTGGGTCATGGACCATGTCTTTGCCCAAACTAGCACTCCCCTTCCAGTTCTCTCTTGTCCTGCATCCCTCTCCCCATTCTTCCTCGTTGTCGGTTTAAGTAGTATGTTCATTGTTAAAGATGTTGAACTTAATCATTTTAATTTGGAAAACTCCCTTTCCTCTATCCTCACCCCTTGCTTCTCTCTATTCTTTTTTTAATGGCATGTTCATCCTTTGAAGATTAGAACTTCCCAATTTAATTTGTAAATTTAAATAGCTTGCTATTCCTTTCGTTCTGCTGATCTTACTTCTTCTCCTTTTTTTAAGGATGGATCTCTTATTCAACATGCACTTTCTTTCTACCGGTTAATGTTGGTTTGGTTGGTTAGCCTGGTTGGTGGATTTAAAATGCCTCTTCCATCAACTTGCCCAAAGGAATTTGCCTCAATGCCAGAGCATTTTGTGGAAGATGCCATGGAACTACTTATATTTGCCTCTCGGATTCCAAAAGCTTTGGATGGAGTCTTACTGGTAGGCTTCGTTATAAAATGTTTTGCCATGTATTTCTGCCCTTTACACGATACATGAAATTTGTTTTCTTTTGCAAGAGCTGAACTATGAAATTCAATTACCCTGTTGATGTGTTCTTTTTTGCTATTGTACTTGCTGGTCAGGATGATTTTATGAACTTCATTATCATGTTCATGGCAAGTCCAACATATATTAGAAACCCTTATTTAAGAGCAAAGATGGTTGAAGTACTGAACTGCTGGATGCCACGGAGAAGGTGATATACTGTATTCCACTTTGCAAGGAAAGAATATTGTGGAAATTTTGATTAAAATTTATAACTTGAAGTTTGGTATTTACAGCATGTGGTTTTATCATTCGCAGTGGTTCATCTGCTACAGCTTCTCTATTTGAAGGGCACCAATTGTCACTTGAGTATCTTGTGAGGAACCTCATGAAGCTTTATGTTGACATTGAGCTCACAGGCTCTCACACACAGGTGACTTGCCCTAATATTTGAGTTTCTAAGAGTTGATTGTTTTTGGTGTTAGAGTGCGCATATACAGTAAGGAATAAGGACTCATTTTGGGCCATTGCCTTTCAAGGCTTTCTGGTTTACTCGGCAGTTTTTTCTTATTGGATGCACAGTTATTATAGATGGGTAGAAGAAAGATCCTGCAAGGAAACACTTCTATTTAAACGTATTTTTGACAACTTAGCTTGAGAGTTCCCAGAAGTAAGGGCTTTTGGGCTGATATTGGCAGGGACTCGATGTTATCTTGTTATCATACTTCAACTCTAAACAGCAGGATATTTTTTTTTTTTTAATTCACTAATATGCTGATTAGGAATTCTGGAACCACTTACTCCTTTCTTTTAGATTTCAGAATACCTACTCTTGTGCAATTTAAGCAATAGTTCTAGTTATCTTCCGATTTCTGGTGCATTGTTGACCATTATCTGAGTCTCTGCTCTTTGGATTTCGATGCTTAAACATCTGAATCTAAGTCCTCTCAGCCTTTGATCAATATGATTTTATTCTGGGACAATTATTACAAGTCCGATTGACTAGACCACTCTAGGGGTGATCATTTTCAGTTTGGTTTGGTTTTTACCTGAAAAATAACTAGACTAAATTTATTTTTTTTAAATTAAAAAATGAAATTGGTTCACACTAACTGATTTCAGTTTGGTTTGGTTTGGTTGAAGTAAAAAACTGGAAAAAACAGAACTAGCCATCATTTTTCTGTCCAACAAACCAGAGAAACACATGCATCATCTTCAACCTTTCCCATAAGACCAGCAATACCCATTATTTTTGTTTCTTTCCATTCATGATCAGACCCTATTTTTCCCAAGAAAACTAGACCACCATTAAACAAAACTCCAGCACCGTCTCTCTAGTAGTCCTCACTGCCTCCCATAATTCTTCGCACTGTCATCACTAATTGTTGCTAGCACCAGCTACCACCACCCATGGTGACAACACACTGACACTGGCTGCCTGACAATAAGATGGGAGAAGAAAGCTTTTTAAAGATCAAGGGTTGTTGGCACAAATTCACCCTCTCCCTTGTTTCATCTATTTCTAGTGGTGAAGACAAGAAAAGAAATGATAGAAATGAGAGAAGAGGGACGCAAGAACTGAGATCGAGAGAAAGCTTGGGGGAGGGGGTGGCTGGGTTTGATTTGGCCCCCAGGGTTAGAAGAAAAGTTTATATTTATACTTTTTTTTTTTTGGTGTTGGTTGACCCAGTTTGGTTTGGTCTGGTTCAATCAGTTTCAGACTTTTGAAACCAATATCAAACCAAATGTTTTCTTGGATTTTCTAATCGGTTAATTTGGTTTTTTTTCTCGGTTTGGATTTTTTGGCTAATTTTTTTTTTTTTGGCTTTTCTGTTTTTTTATCACCCCTAGACCATTCTTTATAAAAAGATTTGATGCATTGAATATCTTGATTACTTTTTAAAATTACTTGCTAGATGAAAAATATGAGTCGAAAGGTATAAATATGGGAAGATGGTCTTTGTAGAACTTCGATTGCTCATTAGATTAATTAATTGAGATGTTTTGGTTTCATCCCCTGACTGTTGAATAAGAGTCAAGGATTGTCCAGTTAGATGGTTGATTTGTCCAAATAAATGGTTAAAGAAACCTTGCCTTTTTTGGGTGCATTGTATGTTGGGTATGCACATGCAGGGTAGGGATCCTTTTCTGTTTTTTACCTTTTCCATGCCTGGTTTGGGTAAATTGTGCATTTCAAAGTATTCTGTTCAACTATCCACATCCATGCAGTTGTATGTTGAGATTTTTTTTCTAATTCATCAGTTCTTTGTTCTAAGTCCATTTACCATTCACTTATTTTCTAAACTGTTGTAACTAATAATTTGTTCTGTCTTGATGTTGAAAATTATCATTTTTACATTTATTTCATGTTGATTCTTGATGTTGTCTCATATGTTACAGTTCTATGACAAGTTCAACATACGGCATAATATTGCCGAACTTCTTGAATATCTATGGCAGGTCCCTAGTCATCGTGATATTTGGAGAAAGGTAGAACAATTGTGTATTTCACCTCTTTTTAGTGGATTAAACACCCCTCTCTCTCTCTCTCTCTCTCTCTCTCTCTCACACACACACACACACACACACACATTCAGACACAAATTTGACTATTTTATGCTGTTCCAGATTGCTAAGGAAGAGGAAAAGGGTGTCTATCTGAATTTCTTGAACTTCCTGATCAACGATAGCATCTATCTTCTTGATGAAAGTCTGAGCAAAATTCTTGAACTCAAGGCGTTAGAAGCTGAGATGTCAAACACTACAGAATGGGAGCGAAGACCAGCTCAAGAGAGGCAGGAGAGGACCCGCCTTTTCCATTCCCAAGAGAATGTCAGTTTGTGTGCTCATGCATGTGTATGTAATCGTGCACACATCTATCATGAATTCAAAATATGCTTAATTGGATAGGTATATCTTGGCTGTTTCAGATCATCCGCATTGACATGAAGTTGGCAAATGAAGATTTGAGCATGCTGACATTTACGTCAAAACAGATTACAGCACCTTTCCTTCTCCCTGAGATGGTATGATATATTTATGCCTGACCCTCCATATCTATGTTGTAATCGCTTACAAGTAGGATAAATATTTATTTCTGCCAGGTTGACAGAGTGGCCACCATGCTCAATTACTTCTTGTTACAACTTGTGGGTCCCCAGAGGAGATCTCTCACCCTGAAAGACCCTGAAAAGTATGAATTTCGCCCAAAACAGTTGCTTGAGCAGGTTAGTTTGATTCTCCAATTTCTAACTGGGGAGCTCTCTCCAGCTACAGCTGTCACTCCTCTCCTTTTTCTATGTTCTCACCTTTTTTGTTTTGTTCAAAACAGTTATTTTAACATGTTAACAGGATGTACAAATTTGCACTTTTGAACTCTCCTGATTGTTATTCCCCCTTTTTTTACCCCTTTCTCCTTGTTTGTGTCCAAAACAATATCTTAAGCTGCTTAGCATGATTGTACCCCACCCTCTTCTATTTCTTCTTGAAGTTTCTTCTACTGCTTCATTTCCTTTAGGTTTACATATTGGTTTAGAGGACTTTGCTTATACAATGGCAATAGTCTTAGATGGCAACCACAGGGTGTAGGTTCAAGTCTTAAGAGTAGTGACTTCATGCAAAAGGAAGTTAATGGGTAGGACTTTTTCCCAATTCTCCTGAGTATCGTACTTCAGCGTGGAGTCATTATTCAGTGGTACCAAAGATTAGGTTCGAGGCAGTCAGGCAGGTAACTGTGCAGTTTCACCTTGTTGGTTGGCTGAGAACATGACTATATATGCAGGTTAAGCACCAATTCAACTATACTATAAATGCTTCTCTGGTTGTGAATTTTCAAGCTTGTCAAGGTGTCTGATTTAGTTGACTAAGGCTCTGATTTTAAACTCAAGGACTCTGAACCTTGGATCGAATAGCTTTTAGATGCAATGTAGTGGGGTCATGCTATATTATATATGTGGCTTCATGATGAGCTTTATCTGGCTCATTGACGAGTAAAACTATTGTGATATCCAATTCTTTAATATGTCATGTTCCTGTGGCCTTGCTTGAGTGAATCTCTGCTTCTATTAATTCTGCATCAATAGATAATGAAATGTGGAATCATCTTACCAAGCTAACTGGAGGAATCAGTACGATATTGTATATAATGTCATTGAGCCTCTGTGATAAACCTAACAGTCTTTATTGATTCATTGAAGATTGTCTGTATATATGTTCATTTGGCGAGGGGTGATAATGAAAACATATTCCCAGCTGCCATCTCGAAGGATGGGCGGTCATACAATGAGCAGGTAACTTCAATGCTGCAAAACTTCCATGAGCTTTTCATTAACTATTAGAATCTAATGTCCATGAGAGAACGTCCTTGGTTTTGATCTGTTCTGAAATGTAGCAGTTGATTGAATAGTTTGTGACACTGCTTTCTGCTCTAGTTATTTACTGCTGCTGTTGATGTCCTTCGGAGAATTGGCAAAGATGGGAGGGTCATCCAGGAATTTATTGAGCTTGGTACAAAAGCCAGGGTTGCAGCTTCTGAGGCAATGGATGCTGAAGCTTCCCTTGGAGAGATACCAGATGAATTCCTTGATCCAATTCAGGTAGATTTCTTATACCTTTTTGGGAAGGGCAATGTCTTTGGTGGGTCCATAAATTGTACGTGGAGAATATCTTTTATGCTTTTTTTTGGCAGTACACTTTGATGAAGGATCCGGTGATCTTACCTTCTTCAAGAATCACAGTTGATAGGCCTGTCATTCAAAGGCATCTTCTGAGTGACAATGTACATCTTTCACTTGTTCATTCATTTTATCAAATTTGGTGACAAGGATACTAATTTTGATTAAATTCGCAAATTGATTTCATGTGAGTGCAGACTGACCCCTTCAACCGATCCCATCTTACTGTGGACATGTTGATTCCAAACACTGAGTTGAAGGCAAGAATAGAGGAGTTCGTCAGGTCCCAAGAATTAAAGAGGCATGGGGAAGACTTCAGCTTGTAGAGGGCCAAAGATACAATCCAAACCACAACTGAAGAAATGTTGATTGATTAGAACATTGCTGTAGATTCTTGAGAAGACGGAATGATGATCTGGGTTACATATTTTTAGCAAAAATGGAAGGATTTTCACTAATCAATGATGGTGGCAGCTGACCATAAAAAGGTTATAGGCAGTAGTGCATACAATATGTATCTTCAGACTAGTGTTGAATGTTCTTGGATGTGTATAACTTAATTATGTGTATGAAAGGTATTTAATTTATTTAACAATGGCATGGATTCTGTTCAAGTATTATTTTTGTAGGTGTGGTTACACGTTGTTTTTATCAGGTTGTGCTCCGCTAACAATCCCCAGAAGATCTGGTGAGGACAGCATGTAATGCACCACAAAAGAAATAATTCCCTAATAAAATTTGCCGTGCCGCTTTTTGGTAGTTGCAGATTCTTCTGGTTGGCATTTCGATCACCATCAACCGTCAAGTTGGAAATATCACCATTTCTTGTATAAAAAAAATAAAAAAGGTAGGAACCAAATCCCTACAGCAACCAGAAAATGCCTGTTGCTACTCGAATTGTGCACAAGTTCTGTGCGATCAATCCCCTTCCATGATAAGCCAAGCATCTGAGAATCAGACACAGGATATGTCTAGTGATTGTGCAGATGTGAGACGAGTCATCTCAAAGAAATATCAAGGGATTGCAATGTACAACTCGGCCCTGCTGGTTGAAGGTCATACAAATTATGCGCGGTACAGGCCCGAGGAGTAGGCTTGGATGGGCACAGAAATGAAATGCATGAGGAAAGGTAAGAGTCCTGTGAGACATCAGAGCGCTGCATCTTAACCTATACTTTTGGACTGTAGAATATGTTGTACTTTGGATGGCTGAGGAACCATTATATATTTGGAACTTCAATTTCACGTTGTATCTGTTCAGATGCTGTTCAGCTAATGCCTCACCTTCAAAATGCATGGAAAATGCTGATGCGCTCATTTAGCTTCCTCGCGTTGCATTAACCATGCCAGAAATTGTTAGGTTAATCCATTGCGATGTATGTCCCACACAGGCATTTGACATAATTGCAGACTAAAGATGGTGAATCATCTCTCCATTCGGAGGTTTTCCGGTAGCTCCGGGCAGATTCTGCGCTTCAGTACGTTGCAGAAACAGAGCTGTGGCCATTTGGCTAGGCTCACGAACAACTTGCCCCCCAGAACCAAGTTGCCAGAACTGAATTTTGAAGTCGAGCAGAATAGTGTGAGGTTGATTTGCACATAAGAAACCTAAAATACTATTCTCTTCCCTTGTTTCAAAAGCAAAACAAAATTCAGATTATGAAAAGCTGATGCAAAGATGGAACAATGAAAGTATCTTCCAGCTTAAAAAAACATAGAACAACAAATTGACATTGTGAGCCCAAGATAATCGATAATCTTTGACTTGACTGTTGCCTAAGTCACCAACTGATCATCATGTTTAGCATTCTCTTATGAAGCACTCATTGATGTTCTTGCTGGTGTGCTCTCCAGTGCACCAGATGAAATCCTGTAATTTCAATCAACCCACTCTGGTTTGTCTTCGAACAGATTGGCGATGATGTTTTTTACCTCCTGCAGTAACTTCTATAGAAATTCCAAAAGTCAATTGGCAGACATCCAACCACAGGAAAATCACACATTGAGTATTTGTCTCTGTCATAGCTTTGGCTTGGGAGTGGCTGCCTTTCGCTTCGCATAGTCATGGGCAATGCTTATCATATTCTTGCTATGACGAAGTGAAAACTCAGCAAACAGGATCCGTGTTTCTTCCAGGGTCAAATCACCATGAGAGCCCTGCAAAATTTTGGTGCAACATTATGGTTTCTGTCCAACTGAAAAATAAATCAGGCTGTGAACTTTAGACAAAGGCTAACTATTGGAAACATAGGTTTAGCTTACCAACTTAATTTTAAAAAACAAAACCAATGCACAAGCTAAGTCAGTAAACTAAATGAACAAAACAAAATCAATAAAACGAAACAAAAAATGGTCCTTGACTCCTGTGCCACAAAATGTAAATCAGTATTCATTACCAGGCGCGAAGTTCTGTCACAAACAGCATGATGCATGAGGATGCCTGCAGCAACTGAAACATTGAAAGAGTCGACCATGCCTTTCATAGGAATACTGCAATGCAAATCTGACAGTTCCAGAGCCTCATCACTAATTCCCCTACAAGTAGTGACTCAACCATCATTACTAAAGTTTACAACAACTAAAATGTTCTAGATTTCTTTTGGATAGAGAAACCATCAGTAAGATGCCAACTAGTTAGAAAGCAGTCTATATCTTCATCCTTACTATAGATATCAAAAAGCTTAATGTATCAATTAATCAACTGCTAGAGATAAAATCTAACAAAAGAGAGCTTCATAAGGAGTTTCTAAGAGCAAGCAAGAATAATGTAGTTTTCTATTATTTTTCTTCCTTTAATCTATTGCAACAATCAAAGGTCCAAAGAAAACTTTTTTTTCAAATATCAACACTAATTAGCATAATAAAACTAATGGAAACATAGCCCCCCACCCCAAAAAAAAAAAAAAAACATCCAGCATTAACTTTGTGATGAAATGATAAAGCATGAGGAAGTAAATTACCTATTTTCATTTCCAACAACTATTGCAGTTGGGCATGACCAATCCATGTCATAAATAGATACCTAAATAACACAGCACAGAAACAGTCATACATGTATTCACAACTAGAACGATTCCGCATCAAATTGCCAAAGACACTCCATAGTTTAAACCACTAGCTGGAATCACAATTAAACAACAATGCCAATTACCATTTTCCATAACAAAAACAATCAAAACGAGGAAGTAAAGATTCATTACCGCATCGATTCCAACATGAGTGGTAGCAATCCGATAACCACGTGATTTTAAAACTTGAAAACAGTCTTTAGCAGAATCCCATAATTCAATATCCAACCATTTCTCTGCTCCCATGCTCACATGCCTATTCTCTCTATACCTGTAACACCACCAATGCAAACAGCATTAATAAAACAAAATTAACACAGACAGAAACCTTAGAAAAAAAAAACCATTTTTTTCACCTCAAAAAGAATCGAAGCAGCACCTTTTGGAGCTATCACAAGAAATGACATGAACAGACTGAAACCCCAAAGCATCAGCAGACCGAAACACGGCCGAAACGTTTCCAAAATCAGTCAATCCTTCAACAACCAAACAAAGGGAATAACTCCTACTCTTAACCGTATTTCGAATCCTCTCTTTTCTCTCTTCCATCATATACGGCCCCACCGCTTCCAAAACCTCGCTGCTACTCAAATCCACACCTCCACAATTGAACCTGTCGAAATAAGGAAACCAATGAGAACCCAAGACAATGTCGTCGTGGGTTTTCGTTATTCTTCTTTCCATTTTCATTAGTCGTAACACGTCGTCCCGTTTGGTGAGAAGGAGTTCTACGGTGTCGTCTGGGGGGTCTAATGAGAATGCTGATTGGGTTGCTGTTGAAGAGCGAGGTCTAGTGTGTTGTATGCAGGGAGTGAAGGATACAGAGGGAGGGCGGGTTAGGGTTTGGGTTTTGGAGAATGGAGAGAAGGGTTTTTTGTGTTTTGGGAGGGAAGTAAGAGAGGTGGTGATAAGGGTTTTGCAGGCTCCCATTTTTTGGGGCTGGGAGAGATTTTGTTGGGTTCAAGTTATCGAGGGGGGAAGAATGGTGCGCTTCAGGCACATCACAACACAACAAAAATAATAAACAGGAGAGTAGAATGTACTGTATACATTTTACAATTCTACATCCCTAATTTTTTATTTATTTATTACTTTCTACACATAATTTCATTTAACATAGTAGGGTTATCATAAATGTTTTTTTATCATGACATAAAAAATATAATACAAATTTGATAGTAAAATTATAAAATTATATATAATTTTTTTAATTAATTATATATTGACAATACAATGTAAATTTAGATATAAAATTTTTTAACTAATTATATATTGACAATTCCAGAAAAGTAATAAATAATAGTTTAATATAATTATAATAAGAATAAAATAAATAATAAAAAATTTTAAACACGTTAAAATAAATAATTCAAATAAAAATTTATATATAAATTAAGTAATTTAAAAATACAATACAATCCATAAAGTTTTATACAATTATCTCCATAAAGTTTTATTAATTAAAAATTAATAAGCTTAAAACAAATAATTTGTTAGTATGTCATGTAAACTAACATCAGTCTCATTGTCTTTATCTTCCTTGTTTTTTCTAATAGATTCATCAAGATCATCACAATTTTAAAGATTATTACTGCTATTACTAATATCAACATCATATTGAAAACATTAGTAATTCTACTAACACTAATACTAATATTGTTAATAATATTTAACTTAAAACTCTTTGAATTATTTAAATCGATATTAATTTGAATCTTTAAATCATCTTCAACACCATAAACCTCCATTTCAACATGGTTTTTATTGTTAATGATGTTTTATTTAGTTGTCATGTATTCATTAGTTCAAGAATTAAATTAAATCAACTTTGAAATCAATCATAATAACTTATTTACCGGTCATTAACTTTACTAATTATCCCATAATTATTAATATTATAATACAACTACAACTCTAAAGCCTTGACTTATATCAACAAATATAATTAATTGATTTAACCTTGCTATATATAGCTACTCTTTTCTACTTTTTTATATGATTTGAGTTAATTATTTCATTTGATAGTTGAAGTAATTAAAGACCAATCTTTTTCTTTTTCTTTTTCTTTTTCTTTTTATTGTTTTTATCAACTAATTGATATGGTTAATTAGATTGGATGTTGGTTGGAAATCTACTTTCTATATGAAAAAGATCTCATGTTGTTGATTGTTCAAGTTACAGAGTCACGTGCAATGCTGAATTTCTCATTATATTTGGATTTATGCTTAATTTTTTATAACTAAAATAAGAAAAACAAGCATTATAGTTAAATTTCACTTGTTATTGTCTGTGTTTCTGAACCGTTACTGTTTTTTTAATCTACTATTATTTCATTGTTTATAAATTTCTAATTCATATATTTCATTTTTTTTCAACTAGTTTGTTTATAAAGTATTTAAAAATCCACTCTATTTATCTGAAATTTCTTATGTTTAGTTTTATATAACTAAAACAAGGAAAAATATAAGTGTTATTATCGAATTTCATCCATTCATTCTTTTTAATTGAATATATAGGGTTGGCATAAAGAGTCAACTTGACTAAAAAATTGTTGTCTTTTTTTTGTTTTCTTCTTCACTTCACTTTTTTGCTTAGTATAACCGTCTTTGGAATCACTAGCTTAAAGGGAGACAATTATGAAATTTAAATTAAAAAAAGTAGGTCAGACTTATATAGGGAAGAAAAAGAATGAGAGTATG